TGCTTCACTTGTATCTTAAGTTGTGGACTGTCCAAGGCATCTACGAACTGATCCCTCAGCAACTACTTGAGGAGATTGGGTGGTGCAGTTGGGTAGGCCTTGTGTGCCATGCTCTCCAAGTCCTGTGCCAGCTCTTGTAGGCTCTCCCCTTTAGCACGGACTCTCGTCCTGAACCTGGCCCTGTAGATCTGACTGGTTTTGGGTTCCATCCCTGAGTTCGAGAGCCGACACCAGTGCTCTCTAGTTGTGTCTGTCGTCTGCTGACAACTGTCCAAGTATTTCTAGTGGTTGTCTCTTCAAGCTGGTTGCCAGATATGCTGCTTTCTGCTCCTCTGTCCACCCATTCATTTCTGCCAGGAGCTCAAATTGTGCTCTATATGCTTCCCACGGTACCTTCCCATCGAATTCCTGTGGCTTCCTTCGTACTGGATCACTCCTATTACTGACATTCATATCTGGGTTGTGACTTCTAACAGGACTGAAGATGTCTGCATTAGGGTTTATCTGCGGGGTCTGGAAGGGGCTTGTCATTGTCTGGGGCTGATTAAGTCGATGGTTAATGTGTCCTCCTCGTGTAAAAGACAATAAATAATCTTTTAATGTATCTAATTCGCTTTTAAATCTACTAATGTTTTCCATTTGTACTTGTTGTTTCCTTTCTTGTTCCAGTTGCCACTGCTGTAGTCTCTCTTCTTGTTTATGTTCTTTCTCCTCCAATAGCTGTTGTAATCTCTCTTCTTGTTTCTTTTCTTTTTCCTCCAACAACTGCTGTAATTATCTTCTTGTTTATTTTGCTGTTCGACCTGCAACTGTTGCAGGTTTTCTTGCAACTGCTGTTGTCTCTCTTCTTGTTTCTTTTCTTTTTCCTCCAACAACTGTTGTAATCTCTCTTCTTGTTTCTTTTCTTTTTCCTCCAACAACTGCTGTAATTTCTCTTCTCGTTCTTCTTGTTTCTTTTGTTGTTCTTGTATTGCTGCCATCAAATCTGTTAAGCTGTAGTTTGATTTGCCGCCTCTCGTTTCAATCTTCTTCTTCTTCTTTTTTTTTCTGTCCCACACTCTGACACCAATTTGTTACGCCTCCGTTCGTTAGTTAATTTTCCGTAAATTTCGTTCCGACGAAACTTTAGCGACGCAAGTCCTTTCTTAAATAAAACTGGTTTATTCTTTCTGAATACAACTTTGCAATACTCTTAATTTCCACAGTCGTGCTATAACAAACGCTATAATTCACAACGAACGTCTCACGTGCTCAACTCAACAATACTCTGTCCGCAGTTCAATTACACATAGTTCCCGTCGATTCTTGGCCGGTCTTATATATACAAGACTACCCCATATCTAGTAGTCTCCCGACGCTTCATGAACGTTCTAGAAGCGCGTGGCGTGTTACTAGCATCACGTGACCTCCGCTGTCGTATCAAGGCTATTTTTTCAACAACGATTGTTATGGTGTGAACGACATTTACAAGCTGGCGAAGCATAATTATATGATTTATACTTGTCATAAGACATTATGTTAGGTCTATTTCATATGACAAGTATAATTAATATAATAAGTGCTTCGCCAGCTTGTAAAAGGCGTTCAAACCATAAAAAAAAAAATGGTACACAGCATAAAGCAACAGTTTCAGTTTGCTCACCTATTGTTTAGCTTTATGCTTAACTTCAAACAAACAAACAAATTAATGGATATCAAGACATTATCGTTACCCAATAGTTGTTATGATGAACAGATAAAAGTATGCCATAGAAATTAGAATTGAGAGTATAGAGTTCCAACCCATATCTAAATGCTAAGGTAGATGTCTGTCTTCTGTTAAATAAATCAAAATAATAGCAAGTTAGAGGAAAGTAAGTAAGTTATCAAACTATGAAGTTTAATGTCATTTTAAGCAACAAGCTCACCCACTTGTTTGAGCATGTGACTAATCATAAGCTGTGGATGTACAGTGAAACTACGTAATAATATCAAGTTTTTCTATTATGGTCGTTGAGTTTGTCGAACACATTAGCCAGATAACATAGTACTAGAAGCCACTTTTCATCCCTAAAATGCGCTGCTTGTGTGGGATTTCAGTCTAACAAAAAAAACAAAAATACAAGTTTCGTCTTTTAGCTCTACAATGCGACCGAGTACCTTCCCTCGAAACAAACGGCGCACCCATCTATGCAGAAGGAACTTGTCATAGTGGAACCCATTTCTCTACAAGAAATAGTTATTTGGTTGGTTTTGGGGATTTATTGGCGCAAAGTACCATGGCTGTCTGCGACAAACCACTGTTGTAAAAATAAAACAAAATGTAAAACTGTATAAAAAGTAAACAGAAAACAAGTTAAAAACGAAACACTACCCAAAGATTAGCTAAAAATCTAAATAGAGGTAAAAAGGCCAATGGTCTGTAAAAAATTAAAAACACAATCAAGTTGACAGTATCACCATCGCCAATGATACATTCCAATGTCAGGGGTAAACCCATAGAAAGTACATGTCTAAAATGGTGCCGCCGCTCAGAGTCATAACGATAGTAAAACGTAAGCTATTGTAACTTGAGTGTCACAAAGGTTACACAAGGTGGATCAGTCTCAGATAAAAGAAAACGACGAGTTAAAAAACTGTGACCAATGTGTAACCTAACCAAGACAAGTTCCTCCTTCTGATACATATGGAGACAAGACGACCAAAGAGCAACAGAAGGTT